TCTTAGAAACTCTCTGTTTGATTTGTTAGTTTTACAACAAAAAACTCAATTTTGGTTCATGGAGGTCAGCCATCAAAATCTTCACAACAGTTCCTGAGTTCAGCCTGTTATTAAAGCTCATTTGGTTTGGGATAAGCCCGTATAAAATTTTATTTTGATTCCTAAGTTCAGTTTGTTTAAAAGGTTATTAGGTTCAAGATTAGTAAAATATCATATTGGTTGAGGAGGTCTCTGTAGTTAAAAATTCATTTCAGTTCAAAGGATATCCAGTCAAAACTCTACTTGTTGTTTGGTTGGAAGTTAGCCTTCAAACTTCACTTCCTTGTATAAAGAGGTTTGCGGGCACATTCTTCTAAAAGTTCTCATATTTATTGGATACTCTCAAGAATAATTCTTGGAGACACGAGTAGGTCTGGTTAGGTCGAGCCTTTATAAAACTCTAGTGTTTTTCTTTCTCCCTTATTTCTTTACTTTATTGTCTTTCTGTTGGCTTTCCATTTATCTTTTTATTTTGTTACATATTTTCTTGTTTGTTTTATAAAATATTTTCAAAATTTGATTTTCCAAATGATTTATTTTTAACCAATATTTTTCAAACCTCCACAATTTACCTCCCTCTTGTGTATGTAGTCACATGTTCAACAAGTGACATTAGAGTCTAACTCTTTTTAAAGATTAACCATTTCAAGAAAAATATGACTTCCAATACTTCTAAAAAAAGGACTTTCCTAAACACACCTCCACCATTTAATGGTGATACTTTTCATATATAGAAAGCTATATTTAAAATACTCATTGAATATTTTATCTTAATTATGGTAAATTATAATCATTGGTGTGTTTATCCCTACTCACTATGTTAATGGTGAAGAAGTTGATAAACCTACTTTTGGTTTAGTCCTAAGAAGACAAGAGAAAGTTCGTATTTGATTTTAAATCTAAAAACTTTTTTGGGTATATCTTTAACTGAAAATCATTTTACTTATGTTCTAAATTGAAACTCCACAAAGGAAATGTAGGACACTCTTGATATAATATATGGAGTCTCTATAAGTATATAACAAGAGAGAATGAACACATAAGGTGAAGAAGTTGAAACACCATATGAATGTGAATGTTACTTTCACAAATGGTGTTCAAGCTTTGAAATTTTCGGAAAACATGTTACAACCTTTGTAACTAACAAATGTATAAGAGTTAAGAATTAAAATAAAAAATTTGATCCAATCATTAAATTGCGAGATGGAGATATTTATAATTCTTAGGAAAAATCTTAGAAGGAAGAAGTCATTGAGAAACTTAATGAGTTGATTCAAGTGTTGAAAGATAAAGGTGTGGGCTAAAGAATATTAGAATAATCTTTAACAGATTCGTCAAAAAAATCCCTTTGAAGAAGAAGAAAATAGTCAACTATGGTGGTTCGTTTGAAAGAACCATCTTGATGGACGAAGATCCTTAGAAGATTCATTGTTTGAGATTGAAGAAACTTCATCAATAAGAATATCTAAAAAAAACAAAGAAAGATAAATAAGTCTCATCCATTAGATTATTTAAAAGAAAAAATGAAGAAGAAGTCTCAACAAATAATATTTTTAGAGACTCAACGTTAATGAAATTTTTTAAAGAATTAACTTTTGGTAGAATCTTCAAAGATCCCTCATCCAATGAAGAAGATGGACGTGATAATGATGATTGGGATAAAACAATTATTTTTAATGATATGTCATTGATTACTAAGATATTTTACTATTTCATAATATTTTTAATTATGTGAAAATGTTGAGTTAGATAATTTATTAATTAATATTTTTTTAGAATAAATTAATAATCCATGATTTTAAAGTTTTTTATGAAGTTAATTAACTAAATTTTTGTGCAGCAACTATTGGGCCTCTAGACCATTTCGTAAATGCATCAGGTTTACAGTCAAAGCTTCATTACTAGCCCAACCCACTTAAGAAATTCTTATTTCATGTTTAAGCTTTATAAACCTTTATCTAATTTCTAAAGTAATCTGAGACTTAGGAATAGTTACATCAACAATAAACTTTCCATATCTTGATTTTTAGCCCTCCAAACTCAACCCTAACAATTTCTTTGATTATACTGAAGTAGTCCAATACTCATGATTTTAAATTATCCCTAGAGAAAATTAAATTTGTCAAATTAAGTCAATAAAATTGATCCCAAAATAGGATGAGAGACCAATATTGAAATAAATAAAATTAAAAGATAAAAAAAATAATTTTTAAAATGAAGAATATTGAGAGAAAAAAAAAACAAGATTGCATTTCAATCAAATTTTAAATTTAAATTATTCCATTCATTAATTTTGCCACCTCTAAATATTTTTCATAAAATTTTGAAAATTTTCACATACACTTGTGTTTTATAATTTCATTTCGTGTTTAATACAAATTTATATAAAGTTTACCTATGATGTGAAGCAACATCAGAATCCCTTGGATTGCAGTTTTGCATTCTCCCTTCCAAAAGTCCAATGGCTGATCACATAGCGACGGGACAACTACTCGCCAACAAAGCGGAGAAAAAGCTCTTCTGCTGTTGCGCCTTGTTTGGTTCAAATTATCAAGATGCCGCTGAACTCTTCCTCAAATCTGCTAAATCATTCAAACTCGGAAAATCATGTTTTTTTCTCTTCCACTTATCACCTTCTCTGTTTATTTGGTTTCATGCATCATAATCATCACCACCCATCATGATTTTTCACTTTGATTCAAATCATATATTGTTAATTTAAGTATTTGAACTTTTGGGTATTCATTTTGTCATTACCATGTTGGTAAAGTTTCAAGCTTTCTATGTTGTGATGCTTTGAGGGTATAATGGTAATTTCAAGTGTGGAATGTGTTGATGGTTTGATTTGGTTTGGTTTTTTCAGGGGAGAAAGCAGGTTCAATCTTCATCAAATCAGCTAAATGTCATATCAAGGTTCATTTCTATGATTTTTCATACTTTGTATTTGAATTTTGTGATGTTGTTGAGTTTACATTCATGATGTTGATGATGATGATGATACAGTTAGATAACAAGTTTGATGCTGCTAAGGCTTATGTAGATGCTTCTCATTGTTTCAACAAAACATCTAGAAAAGGTGCTTATTATAGAGATTCGAATGCTAAAATTTATTTATTAATGATTAAGCATAACCAAGGTTTTAAATAACAGTCGCGGTCGCGATTTCGGTTGGTATATGTATTATCACACTAAATGCAGTTGTTGCGGTGTGAATTAACCACAATTTGTTCTTTAACATAAAAATAGTGAATAACGGTATCGGTGTCAGAACCTGCTGATACCGTTTTGTTGCAGTTGCGGAACGTTATTTTTAAACCCTGAGCATAAACTATAATAACTTTTGTTGCTTATGTTTTGATGTTTTAAGGAGCTATTACATGTTTAAATCAAGCAGTAACTATCTTCACTGAAATCGGTCAACACATCATGGCTGCAAGGTATTGCAAGGTACTTTCCATTTTAGTGTGTGTTCACATCTTAAATGCATACCATTTATTGTTAAATTTTTGAAGTTTCGGTAATGAGATTAAACCATTTGAAAGATTTAAATTTGTCTTTCTGTATTAAGGAAATCGGCGAGTTATATGAGCTCGATCAAGACTTAGAAAATGCTAGATCATATTTTGAGAGGGCTGCTGAACTTTTTGATATTCGCGGGGATTCAACAACCTCTGTGATCCAGTGCAAACAGAAAGTCGCACAATTTTCTGCTCAACTTCAACAGTTAGTGTTTCTCTTTCTGTTCCATTCGATGCGATTTTTCAATGGTGTGCGTGGAATTATCATTGACTAGAGTTAGAAGTCATAAAAACTTGGATCATATTAATGTCTTTGATATTTACCAGATATCAGAAGGCGATTAAAATTTATGAAGATATTGCACAACAATCTTTGAACAACAATTTATTGAAATACGGAGTCAGAGGGTATCTTCTTAATTCTGGCCTTTGCGAGCTTTGTCGAGGGGATATTGTTGCAATTACCAACGCGTTGGAGCGCTATCAGGTTCTTGATAATGTTTCTTCTTGATATTGGAGTATTACTTTAATGTCATTCTTTTAACATATTATCCTTTCATCGCGTAGGACTTGGATCTAACATTCTCTAAAACTCGCGAATACAAATTTTTGGCTGTAAGTGGTGGAACTTTCTGGTCATATTAGCTTGTTCGGCTTGCTACTTTGCTTGATCGCTATTTGTTTTTATCAAAATTCAGGATTTGGCTGCTTCAATTGATAACGAAGATGTTGCAAATTTTACTCGAGTAGTCAAGGAGTTTGAAAGCATAACCCGCTTGGTATATCTCTATATCCTAAGACCCAAGTAATGAGAATGAGGGGAAAAATGGTCACTCGGCACGGACACTTGTTGTTTACATTCAATTATTTCATCATCAGTGTCGATATATTAGTATCGAGTCTGATATCTATGTCTGTGTTAGACATAGAGTTTCTATCATTCTCTTATTAATAGAATGGTCATTTTGCGATTTTCAAGAGGTAGCCAAAAACATGTTTTAAATCTACCATGTAACTGTTTCTACGTAGGAATCTTGGAAGTCAACCCTTTTAACCAGAGTTAAGGATGCTTTGGAAGCAAAAGTGATGGAAGAGGATGATTTGACATGAAGAAATTGCAATTTAATGTTTGGCAAATGAAGTTATTCCACTTTGTAAATATCAGAGGTATACAAAAGACATTATGCTGTTGTATGTTATATAGTTTTAGAACAACATTCCTTCTCTATAGTGAAAAGATACGAAAAATACAATTCAGAAATACACTATTTTATTGCAAAGCTAATTGTATCTATATCTCTAGCGACAAGACAGACAAGACGGCTGAAATATTTTTATTATTTATGTTTGGGGTTTATTGAACACTCTCTCCGATAGTGAAGTCAACATGATAAAGAATGCGTGGAAGATATTTCTCCGCTCTCCGTTCTTTCTCCTAATATTTTTTTCATTTCCGTCACAGGGGAATAGGTTTCTCCATCCCCATCCCCACGTATCTTCACATAGAATCGAAAATTTACAGAGATCGAATAATAAAAAAATACACTAGTATTTAGTTTTTTTTCCTTCCTTTTTGTAAAACATAAATTTTTTAATTTTTTAATAAATAAATGCATTAATAACAAACAAATGTTAAAGCACTTGCAGTTACAAAAACATAACCATTAATTTATTAATTGAACAACAATCAAGGTGATAATTAAAGTAGATTGAAGTTGAAGAGTAATTACCATAGGCACAATAAACAAATGAAAATGGTTGTTTTGATGATGATGAAAACATAGAAGATGAGTCATGGAAGAGACAGAAATTTGAGAAAAGAAGAAGAGGAAAGGGTGTATATACTGTATGTATTGAGTGCACTTTTCTAAGATTAGGAGGTACTTGGATGGTGAACCAATACATTATATAATAAAATAAAATTAAATTAACTTATGACTCTTCATTTCCTAATATATTAATTAATTTTTTTATAAAATAAACATGCAAAGTTATATCATTATATATTATATAATATATTGTTCCGGCCTGGGGCCCCGCTTGACCGGGAAGGCCCAGCCCACTTATACTTGGTGAAAGGCCCAAATGAGTCTTCCTCACCTATGTCGGGTACGGAGCTCCCGTCGAGCAGGAAGACGTGCACCGCACACGTTCTCCACGTGCTCACCTCCGCGGGGACACGTCATCAACCTGTTAGAACACAGATTGGTTCTTAGTTTTATCTCTATGTTTTGATCATAACACTTACGAAATTTTGTATTAAGAAATTATATACTCTAAATTTGTTCAAGTATTTTTGCTGCAGATATTAAATTTAATATTCTTCTAAAAGCAAAAATGGATCTGAACGTTGAACTATGCAAGGCTCTGAAGCATCAGAAGCATCTCTTAGAAGAATCTGAGCGCTGCCTAAATAAGACTTTGAGCGCTGCCTACAGAAGGATCTGAAGTAGAAGCTACAGAAGCATAGACTGAAGACTTTGTATGAAAAGTTTCTAGCACAGTTTTTCAGAAGACTCTGATAGTACTGTACGCTGTAAGTACTGAGGATCTGATCTCTAAACTCTGCTCTGAGTAATCTCACGCTAAAGCACACTTGCTGCAACACTCTGATACAGCAGAATTCTGAAGACATCAAGACTCTGATCACTCAAGGCTCTGATGTGAGTTGGTGGGAATTAGACACTTGTTGAAGAAGAATTCAAAGTTATATCCGTTGGTTATGCCAAACGACTCTTTCCTCTTTTATGCTAGACACAAGAACACATGCAAAAAGGATTTCTCTAGACGTTCTACTTCTAGGAAAGGTCAAGTGATGTGAAGACAAAAAGGCTACAACTCTTTTCAGTCCACGGTCTTCAAAGTGAAAACGTCTTGGACTTCTGTGCCTATAAAAGCAAGACTTCAACATCTTTCTTTAGTGGACGAACATTGACGAATTATTGAATACTTCTTTTGAAAACTCTCACAAAGCTCTCATACAAATTATTATTCTTTGCTAATAGTTTTCATAAGTTCTTAAACTTAAGTGTAAATCACAATTGTGATACAGCTTACTTAGAAGCATTCAAACACTTGTTTAGTTTTACATTTGATTGTAAAAAGTTCCTTGAGAAGATCAAGTTGTGGTCAGTAGTTCTTGAGAAGACTAAGAACAGTTGTTCTTAGTGGTTGCTATTGTAATCAATTTGATTAATAGTGGATTAAGTCCTTGTAGAGAAAGGCAAATCACTCTTGATAGGGTGGACTGGATTAGTTGAGTTCAACGAACCAGGATAAAAATCATTGTGTTTTTGTTGCCATAATATTTTCTATATACTTATTCAACCCCCCTTCTAAGTATTTTCTCACCTTCAGTTGGCATCAGAGCTCCGGTTCTGTGTGTGCTATCACTTCATCGTGAACAGAAAAGATTCAGTGAGAAAACTTTGATATATATTCTTGGTTGTTATTATGGCTGAAACTTCAACATCTAACAGCAACAACAGATATGAAGAAAGGGATAGAATCAGCACAAAACCCCTTATGTTTGATGGGGAGAAGTTTGACTATTGGAAGGACAGAATAGAGAGTTTCTTCCTTGGTTATGATGTTGATCTATGGGACTTAGTCATTGATGGGTATGTTCACCCCATTGATGGGGATGGCAAGAAAATTGATAGAAAATCTATGACTGAAGCCCAAAAGAAATAGTTCAGAAATCATCACAAAGCTAGAACAATCTTATTAAATGCAATATCTCATACTGAGTATGAGAAGATCACCAACAGAGAAACTGCATTTGATTTGTTTGAGTCTTTGAAGATGACACACGAAGGGAACTCACAAGTTAAAGAGACCAAGGCTCTGGCGCTAATCCAGAAGTATGAAGCGTTTAAAATGGAAGAATTTGAATCTATAGAAACTATGTTCTCTAGATTCCATATCCTCACAATTGGTCTAAAAGTGCTGGACAAAGGCTATTCAACTGCTGATCATGTGAAGATGATCATCAGAAGCTTGCCTATCAGATGGAGACCTATGGTCACTGCTCTGAAGCTAGCAAAGGATCTGAACAAGATCACATTGGAAGAACTGATCAGCTCACTGAGGAGCCATGAAATTGAACTTGAGGAAGACGAGCCTCAAAAGAAAAGTAAGTCAATTGCTTTAAAGTATAACAAATCTGTGAAAGCTTTGCAGGTGTTAGAAGAAAGTTCTGAAGAGTCTTCTTCTTCCGAAGAAGATGAACTGTCCTTGTTGTCTAGAAGAACCAACACACTCTGGAAGCACAAACAGAGGAAGTTCAAGAACTTCAAGAAGCCAGATCAACGCAAGGAGTCCTCTGGACCAAAAAGATCTGGAAAGAAGGAGGTTGTTTTCTTTGAATGCAAAGAACCTGGCCATTACAAGAATGAATGTCCAAAACTTCTAAAAGAAAAGCCAAAGAGGAAGTTTGACAAAAAGAAAAAGGTTCTAATGGAAACCTGGGATGATTTAGATGATTCTGAATCTTCATCAGAATCTGAAGAAGAATGCGCCAACATGGCTCTGATGGCAGGCGTGGAAGATCAAGATGAGGGATCATCTGGATCTGATTCTGAATCTGACTCAGAAGAGGTACTTTCTGATCTCTCTAGGGAAGAACTTATTAAAGTTTTATCAGAAGTCCTGAAAAACTATAACCAGATTAAGCTCAAATGCAAGAAGCTTAAATGCAATCTTGAATCTGAGAATAATCTGTTAAAGTCAGAAGTTGTTGAGCTCAAAGAAAACAATTTGAAAATGAAAAATAATTTTGATAAAGCTCAACAAGACTCTGAATCTGAAACTAAGTCAAAATGCAAAAATATTTTGGAAGAATATGACTTCAGCTTTCAGAAGTTTCTGGCTAAAAGCATAGACAGAAGCAAGATGGCTTCAATGATCTATGGAGTTAGCATAAACAACAGGAAAGGAATTGGATATGAATCTTCCTCTGGAAAGGATTTAAATCCAAAGCCTGTTGATAAACTTGTCATTAAGAAGACTCCCTTATATTCTCATTTTAAGTTTGGTCATCTGAATGATATTAGACACACATGTTCTGATTAGAACGTTCCTGTGTTTAAGCCAAAAGTTAGTCAGAACAAAACTGTTGTAAAAAGACAGAAGTTCAGACAAACTTTTAAGGCAACTAACCCAAAAGGACCCAAAAAGATCTAGGTACCTAAGGATAAGATAATCCCTGTTGCAGATGTATTTAGCAGCAAAGTCAAGACGCCAGTCATGGTACCTGGACTCTGGCTGCTCACGTCACATGACGGGAGAAAGATTTATGTTCCAAAGCCTAGAGCTTAAATCTGGAGGAGACGTGAAGTTTGGAGGGAATCAGAAGGGCAAAATTATTGGCTCTGGTACTATTGGCAATGGTAACCTTCCCTCTATATCTAATGTTTTACTTGTAGAAGGATTAAAGCATAATCTATTGTCCATAAGTCAATTAAGTGACACTAGTTATGACATAATCTTTAATCAACAATGTTGCAAAACTGTTAGTCAGAAGGATGGCTCAATCCTATTTAATGGAAAGAGGAAGAACTACATTTACAAAATCAATCTTTCAGAACTTAAGATTCAAAATGTTAAATTCCTTATGTCTGTTAATGATGAGCAATGGGTCTGGCACAGAAGATTGGGGCATATTAATATGAGACGCATATTTCAGATTAATAAACTCAATTTGGTCAGAGGACTTCCTAAGTTGAAGTTCAACTCAGATACTCTTTGTGAAGCATGTCAAAAAGGAAAATTTTCAAAATATTCTTTTAAAACTAAAAATGTTGTTTCAACTTCAAGACCATTAGAGTTACTTCACATTGATCTGTTTGGACCAGTGAAAACTGCATCCATCAGAGGCAAGAAGTATGGATTAGTCATTGTTGATGACTATAGCAGATGGACATGGGTGAAATTCATAAAACATAAGGATGAGTCACATTCTGTGTTCTTTGACTTCTGCAAACAAGTCCAGAATGAAAAAGATTTTAAAATTGTTAAAGTCAGAAGTGACCATGGTGGCGAATTTGAAAACAAATATTTTGAAAAATATTTTAATGAAAATGGAATTGCTCATGATTTCTCCTGCCCTAGAACTCCACAACAGAATGAAGTTGTAGAGATGAAAAATAGAACTCTGCAAGAAATGGCCAGAATCATGATCAACGAGACTAATCTGGCAAAACACTTTTGGGCAGAAGCAATAAACACAACGTGTTATATTCAGAATAGAGTGTCTGTAAGACCTCTTCTGGAAAAGACTCCCTATGAATTGTGGAGGAACAGAAAGCCCAACATTTCTTATTTTCATCCTTTTGGATGTATATGTTATATGCTGAACACTAAAGAGAATCTAAACAAGTTTGATTCTAAAGCACAGACGTGTTTCATGCTTGGCTATTCTGAACGCTCTTAAGGCTACAAAGTATACAATACTGAAACACAGATTGTGGAAGAATCTATACATGTTATATTTGATGATAAGTTTGGCATTGAAAAGCCAAAGCAGTTTGAAAGTTCTGCAGATAGAGAAGTAATTCTCACAGACTCTGAAGGCTCAGAGGCAGAAAAAGTTCAAGTGAAAGAGCCAGAAGCAACGCCAGATGCAATTCCTTTAGCTTCTCAAATGAACAACTTGAATATTTCTGAAGAATCAACTGTTAGAGGATCATCTTCCAGAATCAAGGCCTCTCACCCAAAGGATGTGATCATTGGAAAGAAGGATGGCCCTATAAGAACAAGATCCTACCTTAGATCATCTGAAGTGTCATTATTTGGGTTGGTATCAGTTATTGAACCAACTTTTGTGGATGAAGCTCTGCAAGACAATGACTGGATAATTGCCATGCAAGAAGAGCTCAATCAGTTCACAAGAAATGACGTTTGGGATTTGGTTCCAAGACCAAAAGGATTCAACATAATTGGAACTAAATGGGTCTTCAGAAACAAGTTAAATGAAAAAGGAGAAGTTGAAAGAAACAAAGCAAGGCTTGTTGCTCAAGGTTATAGCCAGCAATAAGGAATTGATTACACAGAGACTTATGCTCCTGTGGCCAGGTTAGAGTCTATTCGTTTATTCATTTCTTTTGCTGCACAAAATAACATCACTCTGTATCAGATGGATGTTAAGAGTGCCTTTCTAAATGGAATTATAGAAGAAGAAGTCTATGTTCACCAACCTCCTGGTTTTGAAAGTGAAAAATTTCCAGAACATGTTTTTAAACTTATGAAATCTCTTTATGGTTTAAAACAAGCTCCCAGAGCTTGGTATGAGAGATTAAGTAACTTTCTTCTGGAGAAAAATTTTATCAGATGCAAAGTTGACACAACTCTCTTCTATAAAACATTTAAGAAAGATCTGTTAATTTGTCAAATATATGTGGATGATATTTTATTTGGATCTACAAATGTTACGTTGGGAAAGGAGTTTGCTCAATGTATGCAGGCTGAATTTGAGATGAGCATGATGGGAGAATTGAGGTTCTTTCTGGGAATTCAAGTCAACCAGACTCCAGATTGCACTTACATTCATCAGACCAAATATGTAAAAGAGCTTCTGAAGAAGTTCAACATAACTGATAGTAAGATGACAAAGACTCCTATGCATCCAACAAGCACTCTTGGTAAGGAAGAGGTAAGTAAGAAAGTAGATCAGAAACTCTACAGAGGTATGATAGGATCTCTTCTCTACTTAACTGCTTCTAGACCTGACATTTTATTCAGTGTATGCTTGTGTGCAAGATTCCAATCAGATTCTAGAGAATCACACTTAACAGCTGTTAAAAGGATTCTAATGAATTTTGAAGTTTTGATAACGAGATTAAACCATTTGAAAGATTTAAATTTGTCTTTCTGTATTAAGGAAATCGGTGAGTTATATGAGCTCGATCAAGACTTAGAGAATGCTAGATCATATTTTGAGAGGGCTGCTAAACTTTTTGATATTCGTGGGGATTCAACAACCTCAATGATCCAGTGCAAACAGAAAGTCGCACAATTTTCTGCTCAACTTCAACAGTTAGTGTTTCTCTTTCTGTTCCATTTGATGCGATTTTTCAATGGTGTGCGTGGAATTATCATTGACTAGAGTTAGAAGTCATAAAAACTTGGATCATATTAATGTCTTTGATATTTACCAGATATCAGAAGGCGATTAAAATTTATGAAGATATTGCACAACAATCTTTGAACAACAATTTATTGAAATACGGAGTCAGAGGGTATCTTCTTAATTCTGGCCTTTGCGAGCTTTGTCGAGGGGATATTGTTGCAATTACCAACGCGTTGAAGTGCTATCAGGTTCTTGATAATGTTTCTTCTTGATATTGGAGTATTACTTTAATGTCATTCTTTTAACATATTATCCTTTCATCGCTTAGGACTTGGATCTAACATTCTCTAAAACTCGCGAATACAAATTTTTGGCTGTAAGTGGTGGAACTTTCTGGTCATATTAGCTTGTTCGACTTTCTACTTTGCTTGGTCGCTGTTTGTTTTTATCGAATTTCAGGATTTGGCTGCTTCAATTGATAACGAAGATGTTGCAAATTTTACTCGAGTAGTTAAGGAGTTTGAAAGCATAACCCGCTTGGTATATCTCTATATCCTAAGACCCAAGTAATGAGTATGAGGGGAAAAAATGGTCACTCGGCACTGACACATGTTGTTTACATTCAATTATTTCATCATCAGTGTCGATATATTAGTATCGTGTCTGATATCTATGTTTGTGTTAGACATAGAGTTTCTATCATTCTCTTATTAATAGAATGGTCATTTTGCGATTTTCGAGAGGTAGCCAAAAACATGTTTTAAATCTACCATGTAACTGTTTCTATGTAGGAATCTTGAAAGTCAACCTTTTTAACCAGAGTTAAGGATGGTTTGGAAGCAAAAGTGATGGAAGAGGATGATTTGACATGAAGAAACTGCAATTTAATGTTTGGCAAATGAAGTTATTCCACTTTGTAAATATCAGAGGTATGAAAAAGACATTATGTTGTTTTATATTATATAGTTTTAGAACAACATTCCTTCTCTATAGTGAAAAGATACGAAAAATACAATTCAGAAATACACTATTTTATTACAAAGTTTGGCTAATTGTATCTATATCTCTAGCGACAAGACGGACAAGACGGCTGAAGTACCTTTTTATTCTCTGACGGTCGTTTAAGATTTTTGCACACAGATTAAGAAATGCAATGATATTATCATAAAATATTGCACTTTTACTAAATTAGTCTTATTAATGTGTTGTAAATAGTGTCCAGAGTAATAATTATATGACACAATTAGAAAAATAATTATTGTTACTACATTGAAAAGTGAGAACGACAGTTATTTTAAAACAAAAATTTTCCTCTAAAACGACAGTCATTTTGAAACGGAGGAAGTATATATGTTTGGGGTTTATTGAATACTCTCTCCGATAGTAAAGTCAACAGAATAAAGAATGTGTGGAAGATGTTTCTCCGCTCTCCGCTCCTTCTCTCAATATTTTTTCCATCCCCGTCACAAGGGAATATGTTTCTACATCCCCATCCCCACATATCTTCACAGAGAATCGGAAATTTACTGAGATTGAATCATAAAAAAATACACTAGTATTTAGTTTTTTTTCCTTCCTTTTTGTAAAACATAAATTTTACAATTTTTTAATAAATAAAAAACATCTTGCATCAATAGCAAACAAATGCAAAAGCACTTGCAGTTACAAAAACATAACCACTAATTTATTAATTGAACAACAATCAGGTTGATAATTGAAGTAGATTAAAGTTGAAGAGTAATTACCATAGGTACAATAAACAAATGAAAATAGTTGTTTTGATGATGATGATGAGAACATAGAAGATGAGTCATGGAGGAGACAACGAAAATTGAGAAAAGATGAGGAAATGGTGTATATACTGTATGTATTGAGTGCACTTTTCTAAGATTAGGAGGTAATTGAATGGTGAACCAATACATTATACAATAAAACAAAAACAAAAATTCACTTATGACTCTTCATTTCCTAATATATTAATTAATTTTTTTATAAAATAAACATGCAAAATCATATCATTATATATTATGTAATATATTATATATAAAAGTTAAATATTATGGTCGGGATCGGGAAATCTGTAAGGCGGATGGTACTTCTCCAATCTCTGTCCCAAAGTATCATTGGAGAAACTTTTCTCTCCATCCCCGTCCCTGCGCGGGACAAAATCCCAGACTTCAGAACTCCAAACAGAAAACCCCACATGGATCCCCGTTAACGGATGGAAATTGACACACCTACTTTCTAATTCTATTTATAAGAAAATATTTGTTTTTAGATTCATTGAATAAACAATATATCTAGACAAAATATATATATATATATATATATATATATATATATATATATATATATATATATATATATATATATATATATATATATATATATATATATATATATATATATATATATATATATATATATATATATATATATATATATATATATATATATATATATATATATATATATATATTAGTTATTGAGTAAATTAAAAAAAAACAACTTTTTTCTTATAAATAAGGTGTATAGAGGGTTTGTTAGGGTTGGAGTTTGGCTTCTCATGAATGAAATATCACCGACCAACTCATGCTCTTTTGCACAAGTCTTATTGTCATCTACCATGAATAAGTCAGTTTTTGCATCCGTAATCAAAAGAGGTGTGCTATATGTCGCTACCGCGAAAATAAGGTGCCGGCAAAACAGAAGAGTCGCCACCTTTCGTTATTTATCCCTCAGAACGGGAAAGGAAACGATCGGAAAAACCTGACGAAAAGGTATAAGACAAGGTTATCGCAACCAATGTCTGGGTTCGGGAGTCAGTTACGCAAGGGGAAGGTATTAGCACCCCTCACGTTCATCGTACTCGATGGGATCCATGCTTGTTATGTTTATCTGACGGGTTGGTTTAACTATCTACCTATCAAGGCTGGCTTGAAAAATGACTTGGCAAAGCATCGCGCTTTATGCCTACGTATTCTCATCAGAGAATGAGAAATCAGAGTCAACGTAGTTCGCCTAACTACGGGTTACGGGGAAGGTGGCTCGCCAATACGTCAGTATTGTGTCTACGTACTCTCAATAGGCATGAGAGATCAGAGCTTACGTAGTTCGGGATAATACGGCTAGACAGGGAGTTCTCGATCACACGAGGGTGAGAGAAAGGATTGACGATACTAGCGTACGCATTCTAGCAGTTAGGTGTATGTTGCTCGACCATTGGAGACTTAGGCGTTACCTGTTTACGGTAGAACAGACGTAGTATGTCGGGTTTAGAGGTACGGAGACCTACGGGAACTAGAACTACAGTCTGGTCTCGATTGCACTCGGGCAAGAGAAAGGGAACATCAATCGTTAGCGGGAAAGTCTCGAGCGCACTGCAGCGAGAGAACAAAGTAGTTGTTAGTGTGCTCGCTAGGATATCGCATCCTATGCCTACATATTCTCGTCTGGTACAAGAAATCAGAGCAGCTGTAGTTCAGCTAACTACAGCAAAACGAGGAAACGGGAAAAGGGAGGGAGGTAGCTCGTTAGGATGTCGCATCCTATGCCTACGTACTCTCGTCCGGCACGAGAGATCAGAGCAAACGTAGTTCGATGGGAAAACGTGTCTCGATTGCACAGGGGCAAGAGAAGGGGTTTCAATCGCACGACAGCGAGAGAAAAGGGTTTCAATCGCACGGGGGCGAGAACAAAGAGGAAGCAGGCCTACGCCTAAACGGGAAGGAACTCGGGACGCACACGCAAGAACCAAAGGCGTAGGAGCGAATGCGTCGCATGTCACCCAAAGGGTACCATACTAGACATCCTAGACGATTGAGAAGAAACTCCTCAACTGTCATTTCCTATGTATCTAATGATGCAGCTCACAACACTCGACGATTGCCTGAGACTCGAATAAGAAAGGTGATGTTTGAACAAAGCGGCTTCGTTGGCTCCTGACATGCGCGCAAGCTCCATTCCAATCTTCTCCTCTCTGGATCCTTGATGAGGACGCTCAAATCAGGAACAATGTAACGCTTAGACCGTCATGGTTCAACCTATACGAGGAATCAAACTCTAAGAGGTAGCGTATTGATGTCCGTGTCAAAGACAAGATGGAGAAATGATATCGAAAATCATTCTCCAATTGAATCATGCCACACGGCCAGCCAACAATAAAATCAGAGGATAAAATCGGATAAGAAATGAAAGTAGGAGAGAAATCCAATCACAAATGGAAATAATATCCTACTCCTAAATTAGCAATTAAATTCTACTAGAAAATATCCTAAAGAAATTAAAAGAAAGTGCATAATAGAAAATAGCATAAAAAAACAATTCTATCTAAAATATTCTATAATATTCAATAATATGCTAAAAATAATAGAATATAAATTCTATATAAAAAAAACTATGCATTAATGTCCTAGGAAAATAAAACTATAATCCTAAAGAAAAAATAGAACTATATCTATTACAATCATTCATCCAATACAAGGAAATTAAATTGCAAAGGGAGGGGGGTACAATCTGCAAACTAGGGTAAATGCAGAAAAAACCACTTTGGGCCCAGCCCACAATACAGCAATTCAGAAAATAAAATAAAAAGGGAAAAAAAACCAATGGCCAAAAAGGGGGTGCGCTGGAAATTGGGTGGTGTGGCCAGAAAAGAGTGAACTGGGCCCAGCCCAATATCATACCAACAAAAAAAAGAAAACAGCACACAGGGGGCGAAAAGAAAACGGAGGTGTGTGGATCAGCAAAAAAGGGAATTGGGTCCAATCCAGCCCATTGGCCAATTTGGAGCCCCACACGGACTCATCACCTTCCTCCACTTCAATCTTCAGAAACCCTAACCTTTCTCTTCTCCCTAGCTTACTGTTCACTGCCGCCGTTCTCAAAATCACCCTCACTTCTCTTCTCTGAAACGAAAACAAGAAACCCAAACAACTAAGATCATTTCAAGTTGGATGCGAAGATTTAGTGGTTTACTGTTGAAGTTCAACAATTTCTGGAGATTCATTCATGCAGATGACGATGAGTGAGTTCAGATTTGGAGGTGACATTGAGGATTACGGATGAAGGTTCTTGACGATGCTGACGATGATCGATACGAAGTTCGTTTGAAGCTTCTCTGTTCTTGAAGTTGATGCTCGTGGCAATGACGAGAAGAGCGATTTCTGGAAAACGGCTACGAACATAATGAAGATTGGATGAAGGGCGTTGACGAATCGCGAACGAAGAACATGACGGATGTTCTGGAGGATTTCTGGGACATGATTGGTGATGAAGAACTGATGAATCTTGCGAAGAACCCGGCGGAGAAGATGAATGATCGGTGGAGTTTTCATGACGAAGGTTTGGATCTGGATTCGCTGAAGATCTGTGGCGTTCATAAAGTTCTTGATGAACGATGAACAAGTCGTGAAGCTGGTTGCAGAACTGATGAGGATCATATGAAGGATCTTGAACTTTCTGGTGGAGATCTGGAAAAGCGCGTATGAATCTAGAGATGATTGTTGAAGTTTTTTTGGGATGAAGATGGTTGAATCTGGGATGAAGATGATGAAGGTTGGAGCATCGAT